TTTTTTTTTTTTTTTTTTTTTTTTTTGAGTTGGAGTCTCACTCTGTCACCCAGGCTGCAGTGCAGTGGCACACTCATGGCCACCGCAGCATCGACCTGCTGGGCTCTGGCGATCCTTCCACCTCAGCCTTCCATGTAGCTGGAACTACAGGTACGCGCTACCACGCCTGGCTAATTTTTGATTTATTGTAGAGATGAGGCCTCACCAAGTTGCCTAGGTGGGTCTCGAACCCGTGGGTTCAGGCAATCCACTCACCTCAGCCACCCAAGTTGCGGGATTACAGGCTGAGCCACCGAACCCGGCTGAGTAGCTTCTTAAGATGGAAGCTTAGATAATTGATTCTAGATCTTTCCAAGATGATCATTTAATGCTATAAATTTTCGTGTAAGCAGCACTTTAACTGCATCCCACAAATTTTGATATATGGTGATTTTATTTTCATTCAGTTGCAAATATATTCTAATTTATCTTGTAATTTCTTCTTTCTAAATAACTCAAGGGTTATTTAGAATTGTGCTATTTAATTTCCAAATTTCTGTATATTGCAAGTATTTTCATACCACATAAGTGTATTACCTATTCAAAAACTATATTAAAAATAAATTCAAAATAAGAGTAATAGCTCTAGCTGAGAGCAGTGGCAAATATTTGTAATCCCAGCTACTTGGGAGGCTGAGACAGAAGAATCAGTTGAGTCCAGGAGTTCAAATCCAGCCCGAGCAACATAGGAGATGTCTGCCTGGATGACAGAGTGACATCCCAACTCTGAAAAATAAAAAATAAAAGAAATTCACGCTGAATGCTCCAATTCCAGTTCCACGCCATAGAACTTATTTGCATTGTCTCCCTCTCTACCTCGCCATTCTCCAGTGGCTAGAACTCTGGTTTCCATTATCCTTGACATAGTGCCTTATTTGGTTCCCCCGCCCCACCACCACCACCCCAGTCTATGCCCTCTACTGATCTCTCACTTGTCAGACACTCTTCTCTCTGCTTGGGTCCTGACTCCATTCCAGGCACCTGTCCCCATGCAGAGATGCTCTCCTCACCCAGCTTGGAACCTAGCCTCCCCACCCAAGGCTGCCCCCACATGGATGCCCTGACATCCCACGCTAGGCTGGGCCTCTGCCTTCCAAATGAATATCCTCCTGGCCCCACTGGTCTACGACTCCCCATACTGGGCCATCGCTGCTCCCACCAGCAACTTCCTTTCTCACCCTGCTTAGACTCTGATCATTCATGCTGGGCTGCCCCTCCATAGGGCAACTTCCGTGTCCACTTCCTGTTCTGAATTCCATGATTTGCCAGCTCCAGAATGGACACCCTCCCTATCCTACTCAGGTAATGGGCCATGACAGTGTCCTTCCACTCCTTGGATTGTTCAGGAAGGGAAGGGAGGAGAAGGAAGGGGAAGAAACAGTTTCCCATGTTCTTTCTTTTCTTTTCTTTTTTTTTTTTGAGTTGAAGTCTCACTCTGTCACCCAGCCCCTGGCCTCCGGCGATCCTTCCACCTCAGTCTTCCAAGTAGCTGGAACTATAGGCGTGCGCTACCATGCCCGGCTAGTTTTTTTATTTATTGCAGAGATGAGGTCTCGCCAAGTTGCCCAGGCGGGTCTCGAACCCGCGGGCTCAGGCAATCCACTCATCTCAGCCTCCCAAAGGCGCGGGATTACAGGCTGAGCCACCGAGCCCAGCTCTCCCATGTTCTTCCTAAGGCTTAGAAAGGCTGAGTTACCAGTCCAAGGTCACATAGTAAGTGGCAGAGATGGGATCTGAACTCGAGAGGTCAATCTCCAGAGTACCTGCCTCCTTTGATAACACCGAAGCATGAGTTGAATCAGTTCCAGCCCTGTGAGTCTGCACTGAACAATGGCTGTTATTTCTTCATTTCACAAATGAGGAAATGGAGGATCAGGGAACTTAAGTACCTTGCCCAAGGTCACACAGCAAAGCCTGGGCTTGATTGCATGCTGGTTGGGCTCCAGGCTTATGAGGGTAATCTCTGTGCCAGAGAGCCCAGAGGGAAGAGCAGGTGACTCTGACTTTCAATCCCTATCTCAAGCCAGGAACATCTGACCCAAGGTAGAGGCCTTGTCTGACTTCCAAGGGCTCCTGGCTCCCTCTTAGCTGACTAAGACAGTGTGGCTCAGAGGGAGACACATACAATTTAGAGTCTGTGCCCCTTACTTGCTGTGACTTTGGGAAAGTCACCTAATCTCTGTGAGTGTCATGGACATGATAATGGCACT